TGGCTTCCTGCACGCTCGCTCGACTACCTGATGCGAAAAACGACCTCAGGTGGACAAAAGGTCTGTCGCACCAGCTGTAGGATGAAAAAAAACACCATTGATTATATAACATTATATTAATATATGATAGTCTTTACCAAACCGCCATTGTTTGACTAAGTATATACAACAAAACCAGGTCAAACAGTTTAAAGATCCTCTTGGACTTTCCAGGGTCAAACCCAGGAAGCTTGGCTTCTCTCCAACACCAAGGCACGTCTTTCTTCGTCTCATCTCACTCCGAGTGGAACACTGAGCTCCCCTGACAGTTTGCCCATGGACGCCTCATTAAGCCTTGAGCCGGGGACACCGGTCGGTATCCCCTCACTGAGTCACCCAACCGGTGATCTGACCATCTATACATTGCTACCACTAAAGGTATACTTGGTACATGGGAGCTGAGGAAGCAATCTGCGATAAAGACGGTACTAGATGACTTTGGATGATCATCTGTCCAAGCATTTGTTATTGGTCGACAAATCTGGTGAGGTTTAAGAATGATGATGCTAGACTGATGAAGAGGATGCTTGGTGTCGGTAATTACATCAAAAGTGTTGGTCAGTGCAAGGTCCTGCACAAGAGTCCTCGCTTCATAAATGTTCAAACATGTTCAATCTGTGCCCCTTGTCTTCGCTCCAGGGTGTAGGAGAACCAACGAAGCCTTTTCAAGAAGCAGCGCCCAACCACAAGCAGCACAACCCAAACCATCAGTGTCAGTGGGTCAAGACCTGGAGCTCCAAGCCCTTCTTTTTGGCTTGACGATGTCTGGTGATCAATTCTCCGCCAAGGTACCGCATGATGGAGGAGTGCGCCAGTCGGTCAAAGATCAACCGAGTGGACTGCAAGGAGTAGATCTCCTGTCGGCCCAAGAGGCTCGAGACGTGTTCGGCGGACACCGGGCACATGGTGGAAACGGATTGGTTCGAGGGAAACCGCTCACGTTCAGAAGCGGAGTGAAAGCCTCCCCTGGAACGTGAAGGGAAAGTCGTCTTACAAAGGAGCATGTGTTCGTCGTACGAGTTGGTGGCCAACTCTGGTGGCCCATGGATCTAAAAACTGCAGAGCTGGAGTTCTGGAGTTCACTCTCGAGTGGGCAAAATCGAGTTCGGCATCACTCTAAGATGCAGATGTTCCTTTTTGTCCTTCCAAGTGGTGCGACACTGTTCGCTGGTTCGGCCAACTATGCCCACCTGCTTTGAGCAAAAAAAGAACGCGGGACCCGCAAAGTGATTTGGTCATGCAATAGCAAAAAAGAATCGATGGGTCGTCCCAAATTCTGTATACATTATCCATGTTTTTTTTTTAAATTAGTCACTATTTAATGATGATGGTGCAAGTACCCTAGAAGTCCCGTTCGATGAGATTTTGACCGACTGCAGTAAAGGAAAACTCCTTTTTGGGTCACCTAAAGCCCGTGATTTCTATAGTCTTTGACTCCCAGGGAGTATCAGTATGAATCAATCCATCTGAGTCGCTGAACTTCCGTAACTCGAATCCATTGCGGAAGGATGCCATCAACTCTCATCTATCTCCTTGGAATCTACGGATCACCCGTGGCATCTCTCCGCATCACGGGTCTCCCCCGAAAACGTTCCCAACACCCGAGCTCTGACAGGACAAGTACTATAGGCCAGGTGCTAAGGTAGGGGCCAGGCATCTATTTGGCATCGGATTCGGACCCCCTTTTTGGTCGCCAACATGGAGTGAGGTGCGCCACCGAGTCGTCCAGTTGAATCCTCCGCAGTGTTGAAAGACATCGCGAAGCGGCACCGCGACATCGCCACGGCACCAGCGGTCCCGGGGCAGGTCTCCCGCCCTCTCCTGAGGTTTGAAGAGCTCCTCGATGAAACGTGGATAATACATCGTCCGCACCTCGGTCCGGTCAGGGTTAGGGTAGACAAGGGTAATTGTGGGTCATCCTTTCTTTCATCACAGGGGGCTACTTCTGGCAAATGCTTGAAAGGTGTTGAAGCATCCAACGTTAGTGTTCGAAGTGATGTCTTTTTGATGCTTTTTGCACCCCACCGTCCTGTTTTTGATGCTTACCGGGTCCGGAAAAGGTCTGGGTCAGGATCCTGTTCGGGCGAAGCGTCACATCGTTTGGCCTGCTGAAACGGTGAAGCGAAGCATGTCTGGCGACTCGGTTTGGTCCGCTGTCCGTTTGGTTTGCCGTCCAATGCTCCGCTGTGACCTGCTGCTCTTTCAGTGTTCCACCTGCCCCTCTGGGCCCTCCTGGCCACGTCGCAAAGCACTTTCTGCCCCTTGTTCGATGGGATCTGTTGAGCTTGCCTTAGTAGCTCTGGCGGCAAGTGCGCGTCGGTACGCGGAGGTCCGGAGGTGCGGGGCGTTCAGGAACACACAACGTGGTGGGCTTGGCGAACATGGTTTCGCGCCCCTGATTGATATTGGGGTGTGTTGAATTGGGAGAACCCGAAATCTCGCCCCTGGCTGGGTAGACGATTTCCATTCTTGCAAGTCAATATACCAGGACCTTCCGTGTCTATAAATATAGCCTCTTAGAGGTGATTCGGGGTGTCCAAAAACCACCGGACTTGGAAGGTCCTGGTATAATTTAATAACCCCTATGTGGATCCACCATACCCTCTCAGGTGCGGTGATGATGTGTTCGACACTTTTGCCATCTTTTACCTGTTCTTCGTTCGTGTCCAGTCGCACCGAACCGTTTCGTTTCGGTGGCGATGCCTAGGGAACTTTTGATACACACTCCTTCTCAAAAAAAGGGGACAGCTGTCCGACTCACCAAGGTGGATTTTGCTCAGACCGAACGTGCGTGAAACCTATAAATAGGAATGGCCTCCAACCTAATAGGGATGAGCGAAATCCGCTCCACCTTTGGAATTTCGTGGTCAAATTCACTTTCAAACCAATTTCTGGGTGCCCTAAACCCCTACCTGCAGGGCCTTTGAACTAGGCCTCATCGCATCAGATTGTCTCCGCTCCACCCTCAGCCTCGTCGTACAGCTCACGGTTTGGGCCTCACCACGTCCCGTCCCTGGCCCCATCGGACGGATGCATATGAGATCCCCACAGTCGCTGCGCCAGGATGTAGACCATCTCCCCACCCATGTTCACAATGAGAACCTGCCGAGGTCCCAGACCACCACGTGGGGGACCGTGCACGGGTGCACGACACGGTGGCGCGCTCTTCCTTGCCAGGTGGGTACGGGCCAGACACGGCGGAAAGACACGGGTGCGGCGTGGATACGGTGGTTTCTCTCTCAAAGGAACAGCTCTGGCACCACCCCTCGACTGCTCAAATCTCTTCTGCCAGCTTTTCTGGCCCTAGGTTCCAAGCTTGCAGAACTGTTCATCAAAAAGAGTTTGTGCTTTTGAAAAGTAGCCGGACAAAAACCAAGAAACACGCTGAAATGCCGAACGAAAGCCCCCCCGCCACCCAAATTATACCAGCATAGACCCCAAACAGCTTCAAGCGATTCGTTGGGAGCAAGATTAGTCAAAACCGATTTCTTGGTATGCCCTACTAGCCCATTCCCTTATCAATGATTTTTGTCGGCATCGACATCGCCAATTGTTCGGCCACGAGAGAAGACAAGAGAAGAGCAGGACAAGAGAAGAGAAGAGGAGGACAAGACCCGGTCACAGAGCCCGGCCACAGAGTTCAGCGGCGCGGCCAGTCAACAAGAGTTCAGGGGCGCGGCCAGTGAGTGTGGCCAGCTCTTTTTTTCTAAGATAGAACCCCAACAGTGAACTGTTTAGGGGAAAAATTGCTACGCACCCACCATCTAAATGGACTTGTCATGATTTCTCTGTTGGGTCTCTCTCTCTCTCTCTCTCTGTCTTTCCTGCTCTTCTCCCATTTAGACCCACCGACCCCTTTCCTCGGCTTCTCTTCGTCCGCGCCAGGTCGCCGGACCGGCATCGTCATCAGCGCTCCGGCCGCCATGCCTCAACCGGTTCACGGCTTCCGCCTGGTTCCTCGAATCCATCACCCAGACGTGCCCACCCGGCCCCGAACCTCGGCCCGCCGCGCCTTCGCCTTCAGGCGCCCCCGCCGGTGTGGCCGGTCACCGCCACCCACGCGGAAGGAAGGCGCCACCCGCGCGGTGGCCGCGCTTCCGCGCGTTCGGCCACACCCCTTTCCGGATCGAACGCGCTTGAGCCTGAATGGAAGGGGCAAACCCTGGGTGTTGCAGCTTCAGTTCTTCCCATCAGTCTAGGGGGAAATAAGCCCCGAACTGCCAGGAACACTAGCAGCTGCTCGCCATGGAAAAGAATCAAACCTTCTATTTAATATACATTTTTTAATAGGTAGGACGGAGATTGGTTCTCTCCTCACAGTGACTCCTGCAGGCTGGTCAACTTGGTCAAACGTGTTTTACACCATGCCCGCCGGGCAGGAAAGAAACAAACATCCTATATGAGCTAACCAAGCCTTTATAGCCTAGCCTCTCTTCAGAAGTATTTGCAGCTATCTCATTTGCCTAGACACAGTGCCCGTACTCAGAATGAGTTCAAGAACATAAGTGGTGAGGCCAGCGGTAAATACTAGGAGTAAGACCTAGCACTGCTTGAAGAGCAAGTCATGATCTTGTGGAGGTCCAGCCAACATCTCAATGTCACCACGACCTTCGCTCGCGAAGAACTGGCATGGTACTCAGCAGCGAAGAACTGCTACGTCCAGTAGCGGTCGATTTCCCGATCATCCTACAGTTCCATCCCCAGACACTCCATGACACTGGAATATATATATATATATATTATATATACCTGGACCATCCAATGGAAGCCCATAGGTAGTGTCGGGTAGTCGGACACTTATCGGATGGTGATATATATGACTACAATGACCCCTGTCATAGACCACCCCCTTAGCCGTTTTCTCGCGAACTATGGCAGTCCCCTTGGGTCGTCGTGTGGTGTTACCGATGAACTCGTGCTGGTTCCACCAGCCGTCCCAGTCCCAATCCAGCCGGCATCACCGGAGCGCGCGCGGGGCCTTGAAGAGATGACATTGAAGGAAGCACAGCGGGTGGGCCAAGGTCTCAAGGGAGAAGTTTCACCAGTCAGAGAGCATCATCTTCATTCAATTTGATGGTGCTTGTTTTTTGTATACTATACGGTAGAAACTGAGAATGTCCCGTGGTTTCAATCGAAAACCTCTGTGCTTGTGCTCCTCTTCGGCGAAAAACCACCAGCGTGTCTTCGTCTCAGCCAGCTGTGCCCCAAAAAAGAGCCAATACCCTATAGATGAATGCTAAAAACATCCCCCTGTGATACCATGACCCCTGTGATTTTGTAGAGGAGATGTCCATAAGTATCTCAAAACCATCGACGGTCATCCCCACTCAAAAGACACAGCAGAACGACCCCCAGGTCGACGCCTCGCTAGGCACGAGGATCCGCCGGGCCGTCGGAGCCGAGGATCCCGGCTTTGGGCCCCAGTTGGGCTCTGGGTTGGGCCTGGTGAGAGATAGCAGAGGAAGAAACAGAAGCATGACACAAAGATACACAAAGGCATGATCGAATTTATTCTAATTACTTCATGGCGTCCAAATCAAAACCCAGTGAACATCGGGAGTCCCTTTGGGTCGCAATGGTGAAAGCGAACCTCGACCTGTCCGTGCGGAGACCCTTCGGCCTGAAACCGAAAGCTGTATATAGGATGTATGGTTTGACCCCCCAAATAGATAGAAAAGATGGGGGGGTGCCCAAGGGTACCGGTACCGTGCAAACTCCCTGGATTAATATCGATATTTATCTGCTATACCTTCACATACAGTTCAAGAATTAATCCAGGGACTCATGCCATAGGTGGATTAATTTATAGCAATAAATTAATCAAACAGGATTGAAAAAATAGTCCAGGTACCCCACAGACATAGTTACAAGTGGTCGCCTGTCGGCGAATGTCGTGTGCAAATGTTCTATAGCACATTTTCCTGACCCAGCGATTGTTATCTACATGATTGAAAAATAATCCAGGTATGTGCGTACCCCTTGTTTTCTGCTCACTGCAAAAGCTGCCATCACTCTTGCATGTCTGCACAGAAAATTAATCTGAGTATGTAGTGGAGTATACCGTAATACCCATCAAGTCATCTTGCAAAAAAAATAATCCTAAAGAAGTAATCGAATAAAAATAATCCGCGATGTGAGGTACTACCCTAGATTAGTTTCACAAGGTACCCCCCATTAGAAAAGTAGATCCCCACTAAACATGTATCTTTCAGTTTTGCAATGAAACAAGCCATTGGTGAGGGAAAACAGGACACTTACACCAACATTCTATTGGTTTGTTCGGGGAGGCGAAGCGAAGCTTCTTTAGCCTGGTTCCCTGAATCTTGCAGCGCTACAGTAAGTTCGCGTGTTGGCGCAGAGCAACAAATGATTCTTTCTCACATGAGAACCATTCATTCATTAGTCATTCCAATTCCATCCAATTCCAGATCTTCAACCATCTTCAACGCTGTGCAGGTGAACACCGTTGATGCAAGAGTTCTGTCGTCTTCGCCACAGCTTCGGCTTCTTCGGTGGACGCGAAAGGTGGAGGTGGACAGAAAGCCTATGGGGTGTGGGGTCTCGTGAGCCTGGGCGCCACGGTAGAAGCCTGCTAGGTTCCAGATTGGTAAGAAGCTACTAGGTTGGGTTGGAGGCCATCGCTAGTAGGTTGGAGGTCATTACTGCAACAAGAAGCTACTAGATGCTACAATGGCGCCCACTTGGGCTCTTCACCGATCTCCACAGTGATCCACCAGGTTCACCGCGACACCAAGGATGAGGAACCACCTTCCCCCGGTCGGACCGGGCGAGAATCACGAGCCACCCATCTACGTCCGTCGGTTGGACCGTTCTGGAAAGAAAGGTAACGACCTGGTGTTGTAATGTCAAATCCTTTAGTAAGTAAAGCAAGGGTTGTTCGGGATGACCCGGCTCGAAATCAAAGATGGGCCACGACTTCTAGGGAGTCCAAGTTCCTTTCAGTGGATCTTCAAGGTGAACCGAGAGAAAATGAGCCCACTGACCACCCATGGCTTCGCTTGCCCAGCGGCAGGAACTTGGCCACCTTGTCCCCCTGGTGGGTGGAAGTGCTTTCGGCAGCAAGGGACAGCCCCACCCAGCAGCACCAGTTGGGCAGCTCCGGACACGCAAAAAAAAGAAATGGATTCACTCACATGGAAGGGGAACATGGACTCTGGTAAGATGAGGAAAACCTCCATAAACAGGTGGTTTGCTCACTTCCATGTTGCACGGAACAAACGGCTTCCGTCCTATGAGTGGGTTTCTACATTCTACATGCCTTGTTGGAGCCCCCATGAGCAAAAACTTCCACATCGAAATCACACCCAGTCAACTCAGTGGTCCTATCAAGCCACTATAGTACAACATGAGGGTCCATATCATCTCTACCAGCTGCAAAGTTTCGTTGAAAGCCAACCCTCAAGTGATGTTCACATGCTACGAATCTGCTGAGGTATGTTGAGGTCTTCGTATGTCCAGGACAAATGCTGTGGGTCTTCCAGGTCTGGCAAAACGTCCGGATCTACAGCTGGAGTCTGAATAGCAACGACCATTCTGAACGAGATCCATACCTTGGTGTTGTGTTTTCATCCTTTTTGCGGTGCTTCGGGATGACCGCTGCGCAGCGGGCGACGCAGCCGGGTCCACTCGGGGTTTGGAGTTTCTTTCGCCGAGCGGTCGCACGTGTGTGTTCGGTATCCTCTGAAGTCCTGTGATGTTCTGTCCCAGACGCATGGGTCAAACCCTGGAAATCGGGGGCCTTGAAATCAGGAGCCCAGGGCCCCGAGTTAGCACCATGTTTTAGGTGAAGTCCACCTGACGCTTGACTTCAGGGAGTGTGTCGGAGACATCCCCCAGGGGTGAACTCGCGTGCCACTCGCCTATCCACGGAAGGACCTTACCATTGAACCAATGAAGACCAATGAAGACCCACGTTCGCTTCAACTCGAAGGTCGCACGAGGCATAGAGAAACCCAGCTCAAAAAAGGTTAACGAAAAATTTAGCAAAAAAAGGTCCAAACTGCTGGCGCAGTGTCCCTTCCATCTTTCCAGGAGTGTCATGATGGCCAGGTGGAGGGAAAATCAGGAATCAGGACCGGCGCCTCATGGCTCTCCGTCTTCCACTCCAGAGGTCTTGACAAGGAGAATTCCTGCAGACCACAAACGAAGGTTTGAAAGAAAGAAACCTTTGGGTGGTGCTGGAACATGTATGCATAATGATTGTATACTATACCATATTTATATGTTGTATACCTAGATCACCTTACTTGGGTGTCCAATGGAGATCTGTAAGTAGTGCGTAGGGTAGTCCAATAGTCCGTTCTAGTCTGTAGTCCATGAAACACCCTTTGGATGGGACTGGGATTCATTTTCCATCCAGTGGCCTAGACTTGGAGGCTCTGACATTCCAGTCTTGGGAAGTTGATGTTCTTGTTCTTCCACGTGTGACTCGTGTTCTGCCTGCCTTTCTTAGGAGAAGAGTTGCACCCGTGATTGGTTCAAATGAAGCTTGGCTGAAGCTTGCAACAGTTCCGTTTTAAGTTGCCAGCCGACTGTTGAACGGTTGCGTCGGGGAATCTACGGGCAAGCTTCGTGGCTCGTGGCTTTTCTTTGTGCCCCGTCTCTTTGTTCACCTGCTCCTTCCGCAGTTCCACCAAGAGGACATTCTTGAGTGACAAGTGGACACCATCCCACTGCACCGCACGGATTCCGCACGGATTCCGTGACCTTCGCAAACGGAACTGGCACCGTCCCTTCGCACCCTCAGCTGCTCAGCTGGCCTGGCCTCCCTTCGGATCCTGCGGCCTGCGGCCTTGGGAAGACGACCTGCGTCGTGACCTCACCTGTCGTGACCTCACCGTCTGAGTGGTCAGAAGCCGTTGAAGCAGCGAAGCAGCTGAAGCAGCGAAGCAGTCACTCTTCGACGCTCGACACGAGGAGCAGCGACTCGCTGAGTCAAGCTGGGTCGAGCTGCAGCCCTTGCGTGGCCTCCAGGTCTGCTCTTTCACGCGGTCGTGGCGGTCGGGGCAGCGGAGACAGAAGTCCAAACTGCGCAGTCCAAGCTGAGATGTTTACAAAGATAGAGAACGGGCCTTAGAAACGATTCTTGGTGAATTCCGACAAGGGCATTGCAGTTTGACCATGGGTAGGTAGGTGTTGGCAAATTCTGGACGACTGCTGTCGCTGCTCTTTGGATCTCTTTGGTGACCGGCCACCGATGTGAGACGTCAGCTAGTTTGGCCAAAGCTAAACGCTTTTTGTTCAGCGTGCTACCGCAAGCCCCGCACGATTCTTCTGCCCAGAACGTGCCTTGTGTGTGTGTGAGGGGGGATGGTAGCGTAAAGGTTGAAGCCTCCGGCCAGGTTCATTTCAATTATCATGTTGATGTTCCAGAGCGGATGGCAAAGCCCAAACAAACCTCGTTACAAAGGAAAATGGCGATGGTAGGCCAGAGTGCTAGGAAAAGCAGCTCATTGCGCAGATTCCAAAAAATCAAGTCATGCCGCCAACACTAGTGTTCCTGCTCAGTCTTGCCGCTTCCTTCCTAGCTCAGTCTTGCCGCTTGCTGCCTTTTCCTATATCTGGATCACCTGTCCTGGCATCCGAAAGCAACACCTGCAGATCTCTTGTTTTTGGGGTCCTTCGGAAGCCCTTTGGTCCGTTTTTCTTTCGCAGGTCCATCCCGAATCCAAGAGTCAAAACAGTCACACCTCAGCTGAACAAACCCATCGACCACTTGAAAAATGGTGACAAACGACTTGTTGATACTTAGTACAACTAGCTAAAACAGCTGGTTGTTCGGGATTCAATTAAAACAACGCTGGGCCAGGAAGCCTAGGGCCACATGGCAAGCGGCTGAACCACATGATTGATATGGTTCAAAGTAGTTAAACAACACAATACCAAGGAGTTCCGCAGCACCAGTGACCCTCGTGTTCAGAAGCGAAACATTGGAATTTGGAGAGTTGCCATCAGCACCGTCACAAGACACACTGGGCTGACAGGACACCGAAAAGATGGTGCTGAAGTGAATAGCTTCAGATCCAAGATGAAAACTCCAAGCTGAGGACGTCATCTTTCACAGGTTCTCACAAACGGCCTAGTGTGAGTGGCCTCAGGAAGATCCAATCTCCGGGTGCGGGTTCTAAACTGGAAGATAGTAGGGGTTGCCCAGACCATCAATTCACTGGAAGGGACGAGCCACGTGCTTTCCCCATTGGTTGGGCGTCCTTCTTCAGGAGCTCCGGAAGCGGGCAATTCCTCAGTTCTTGAAAAGACCACATTTTGGCGCTTGGTGATCCAAAGTATAGGGGTCACTCAGGTTCAAGGTATGTTTGAATTAGCCAAACCCACCCACCGGGTGTACAGTACTGTGTAGAGTCTATGTTCATCTATTTTCCCTTTCACTCACAGTCTTTTTTCGTCTCCCGGTCTCCCTGTCTACATCTCCCTGTCTTCACATCTTTGGGCTTTCTGGGTTCTTCGGATTTATCCGTGGTTTCAGATTGCACACATGCGGCATGCGTGCTTCATGGGGATCCCGCATCATCGAAGCTGTGAAACCACATGGATCAGCCACTGTATCTCTCAATGTAATTACATGAGTAAGCCACTTGGGCAGCCACTGGGCAGCCACTGTAAACCACCTCAATGAGTCTCTTTGGTTTCTGTAATTCGTCATTCGTCATGCACCCGCTGGAGACCGAAAGAGACCCTCGGCACTCCGGCACTCGCAGTCCGGAGGCCCTTCCGAGGGCGGCAGCTTTGGGGATAAAGACTTGGAGGTCGACTGGACTCACCTTGGAAGCTCCAGAAACAGTGTAGACTCTTAATGGATGATATTTCAACCCTCCAGAGATGAAGAGGTTTTTAGAATCCATGTTTGGGGGACGTGTGATTCATCATTGTTCCCGAATGCGTAGCGAAGGGTTCTCGTTTAACTCTTGGGGGTCTGCGGTAGAGCCTTGTTCGCGATCCGTTGTTTCTACGTCCGCAACCGTCCGCAACCGTCCGCAACCGTCCGCAACCGTCCGCAACCGTTCGCAACCGTTCGAGAGCGCTAAGGCGCTGCCATTGGGGGAAGCTTTTGCAAGTGACTTTTCATGGATGTGTCACGTGTCAGTTTGCGACGCTATTCCATTGTGATTTGCATGAAAATGACATGTCGCGCAAGAAACGTGATGCACTTCGCTGCACAGGCGCAGCGTTTTGTGAGATCCTCAGTTTGCTACGCAGTTCCATTGGGATTAGCGTTTGGAGATCATGTTTTTGGGGTCGAAATCATTCCAAACGTGTGGTGTGGTGCAAATTTTGTTGAAGCTGACAGACATGAGATGATATTGCCACTTTTCGTGGCAGGCGCAGTACTTTGTGTGGGTTTTGAGGCGTGGAAGTGCGATTCTCGTGGCAGGCGCAGGGAATGGTGAGGTTGCGAGGTGTGACGGAGGTGACATTTCGTGGCAGGCGCAGTACTTTGTGCGCGTTAGACGTGTGGATGCGGAAAGATTCGTGGCAGGCGCAGGGAATCGTGAGGTTGTGAGTTGTGGTAGAGGTGAATGTCGCTGTCACATTGGGATTGGCGTGTGAGCGGATGTTGTTTGGAGGGGCTGGAATCGCGAAACTGCTTGGCAGAGGGCTGCGTGATGTGTGCTCCGATGGGTGTTTCCGCTGGACTTTTGGAGGAAGTCTCGTGCGAAACGTTCATTTTGCAGACTTTGACATGTGAGTTTTTGAGGAAGTCTCGTACGAAACGCTCGTTTTGGGGACTTGACATGTGACTTTTGGAGGAAGTCTCGTACGAAACGCTCGTTTTGGAGACTTGACGTGTGACTTTTTGGAGGAAGTCTCGTACGAAACGCTCGTTTTTGAGACTTGACGCGTGACTTTTGGAGGAAGTCTCGAACGAAACGCTCGTCTTGCAGCCTCGCAGCGTGACTTTTGGAGGAAGTCTCATACGAATAGTGTGCTCTACAGGAGTGTCCCACAAGAGTGTCCTACAAGAGTGTCCCACAAGAGTGTCCGACAAAAGTATCCCACAAGTAGAGTTTCCTACAAGAGTGTCCCACAAGAGTGTCCCACAAGAGTGTCCCACAAGAGTCTCCTACAAGAGTGTCCCACAAGAGTGTCCCACAAGAGTGTCCCGTATGAGTGTCCCACAAGAGTGTCCCACAAGAGTGTCCCGCATGTCCCACAAGAGTGTCCTACAAGAGTGTCCCACAAGAGTGTCCCACAAGAGTGTCCCACAAGAGTGTCCCACAAGAGTGTCCCACAAGTGTGTCCCACAAGAGTCTCCTACAAGAGTGTCCCACAAGAGTGTCCCA